TCATTTATGTGCTTTCGTTTAGCACAACTTCACTCTATCGCCTTTCTCTTTGTTCTATATCGCTCTCCTTCATCCCAAGATTGCACTATTCTTGATGTTATTTCTGATCAAATTGACCAAGCCCTCTCTCTTTATCCATCGGCCAATATCGTCGTTGTTGGTGACTTTAATGCCCATCACACCGATTGGCTTGGCTCTAGTGTCAGTGACTCTGCTGGCGTTAAGGCCCTCAACTTTTGCCTTTCTCAATCCTTAACTCAAATAGTCAACTTTCCAACTCGTTTTCCAGACAACCCTAATCATTTACCTTCTCTACTCGACTTATGTCTTGTTTTGGATCCTAGTCAGTGCTCAATTTCTCCACATTTACCCTTAGGTACTTCTGATCACGGTTTGATCTCTCTAAAACTGTTATCAAATTCTTCTACTTTATCAGAATCCCCCTATCATCGTACCACATACAACTACCTTAAAGCTGACTGGGACTCTTTCCGTGATTTTCTTCGTGATGGCCCTTGGGTAGAAATCTTTCGTCTTCCTGCTGACAAATGTGCTTCTTACATAACTTCGTGGATTCAGGCTGGCATGGAATCTTTTATTCCCTCTCGACGATTCCAGGTCAAGCCTCACTCTTCTCCTTGGTTTTCTTCACATTGCGCTGCAGCAATTTCTAATCGAAACCGTTACTTCCATATCTATCAGCAAAACAATTCTCCAAAAAACAGACATCTGTTCACTATCGCCAGAAACCATTGTAAAAAGGTTTTGTCTGACGCCAAAGCTCGTTATTCTCAGGTCATAAAATCTCGTATCTCATCACAAAAATTAGGCTCTTGAGACTTCTGGAGAATCTTTAACAGTATCAATAATAAAGGCAAATCTGTTATTCCTTCTCTCTTGTATGGTTCAGACTTTGTCACCTCACCTAAAGACAAAGCTGAATTGTTTGCTAAGAACTTTTCATCAATATCATCTCTTGATTCCACTAGTTGCGTTTTACCTGACATAGCCGTCAAACAGGTTGATCCCTTGCTTGACATTCGCATCACTTCAGCTTCTGTATCTAAAGTAATTTCCTGCTTAGACTCTTCAACAGCTTGTGGTCCTGACAACATTCCTGTTGTAGTCTTGCAGAGGTGTTCTCCGGAGCTTTCATCCATACTTTCTAAACTATTTAACAAGTGCTTATCAGAGTCTTGTTTTCCATCATGCTGGAAAGCAGCATCTGTTATCCCTATTTTCAAAAATTCCGGAGAGCGATCTGATTCATCTAACTACCGTCCCATTAGTCTTCTTCCTGTCATAAGCAAGGTTTTTGAATCTTTAATCAACAAACACTTACTCTCTCATCTTGAATCAAATAACTTACTTTCTGATCATCAATATGGATTTCGGTCTTCTCGTTCTACAGCTGATGTGCTAACAGTAATAACCGATAGGTTTTACCGTGCATTAGATAGAGGTGGAGAGGTTGAGGCTATCGCACTTGACATTTCTAAAGCTTTTGATAAAGTTTGGCATGCTGGTCTTCTCCATAAGCTTTCTTCTTATGGTGTAGCTGGTAACGTCTTTAAGATTATTGAGTCCTTTCTTTCCAATCGTAGTATAAAAGTTGTCCTCGATGGACAACATTCTTCTTCACATCCTGTAACTTCAGGGGTTCCTCAAGGTTCAATCCTTGGCCCTATACTCTTTTTAATTTACATTAACGATCTTCCAGATATTCTCACATCTAAGGTGGCATTATTCGCTGACGACACTACCATTTACTCTTGTCATGATAAGAAGCCTACACTCTCTGATTGCTTGGAGGGGGTATCTGAGCTTGAAAAGGATCTCCCTTTTGCTACAGCATGGGGCTCACAGTGGCTGGTGAACTTTAATTCAGATAAAACTCAATTTTATTCGGCCAATCGTTATCGTAATAATTTAGATCTTCCTATATTTATGAATGGTAATGTACTAGATGAGTCATCTACCATTCATCTTCTAGGATTAACTCTTACTTCTGATCTTTCTTTTAAACCGTATATCAAATCCATTGCAAAATTAGCATCTGCTAAGGTTGCATCTCTTTATCGAGCTCGACACTTTCTTACTCCAGATTCTATTCTCTATCTCTATAAATCTCAAATCCGTCCCTGTATGGAATACTGTTGCCACATCTGGGGCGGATCTTCTAATGATGCTCTTTCTCTTTTAGACAAGGTGCAAAAACGAATTGTAAACATAGTTGGACCTGCTCTGGCAGCCAATCTCCAACCTTTGTCACATCGTCGTAATGTTGCTTCTCTTTCTCTTTTCTACAAATACTATAATGGGCACTGCTCTAAAGAGCTAGCGTCCCTTGTGCCATTTACTAAAATTCATTCTCGTGTTACTCGCCATTCAATTAAGTCTCATCCTTTTTCTGTGACTGTTCCTAAGTGCTTCAAAAACTCTTATTCTTCTAGTTTTTTTCCTCGAACATCAGTTCTTTGGAATTCGCTTCCTTCATTTTGCTTTCCTGATTCATATAATTTGCAATCTTTTAAGTCATCAGTC